AAAAGAGATACAAGGACTGTACAATCCAATGACGGAGCCAAAGAGAAGACAACCACAAAGACAATACGATGCTTTAACTGTGGGAAATCTGGACATTGGGCGAAAGAATGTAAGCAAGAACAGCGAGAGAAAGGGTCATGTTTTAAATGTAGGCAGGTAGGACACATGTTAAAAGATTGCCCTCAAAATGTAAAAAAAACAGGCAAATTTAGTTAATGAAATGTCTTCAGATATGCAAGAATTTGTGAAATTAATAACTTATCGAATTAATGATCTTAATGTGAATTATTCGTTTAAATTGGAAACTCTATTAGACACAGGAAGTCCCATTACATTTGTAAAGGCTAGATATATCCCTACATGTTATATTAGCAAAGTTAAAACAAGTGAGATTGAGTTCTGTGGTATTAACGACAGTAAGTTATTTATATTGGGTACCGTAAAAGTACAAATTAAATTAGATAATCTCGAAGAAAAAAATTTGCTTGTTTATGTAGTACCTGATAATACTATGAAGATATCGGCAGTGTTAGGCAGAGATAGTTTGAAAATATTAAATTTGAGTGTAACATCAACTGACATAAATTATAATGAAGCGGTTGGTGAAATACTGAATATTGATGTAAGTGATGCAGTGCCTAATATAAATAACTCTTTAAATATAAACAGAGAGCTACCCTATAAAGAGCAAGAACGAATTGAGCAGTTGTATGAAAAAGAATATATGCATGCTGAAAGGCGAATAGAACCTAAAGTCAAGGCAGAACTAAGATTAATACTTACGGATACTAAATCTTTTCATTTTAATTCTCGTAGGTTATCACAACATGAAAAAATAGAATTAAGAAAAATTTTAGATAATCTATTACAGAAAGGCATAATTACAGAGAGTGAGTCTGAGTATGCTTCACCTATTGTACTTGTTAAAAAGAAAAACGGCGAGTTGCGTATGTGTTGTGACGTGACATTTTGTCCGTCACTGTGCGGACTTGTCGACGGCGGACTCGTGCTTTCTACCGGCTCGAAGGGCGAGCGCGTAGGCGAGCGCGCACGCGAGAGCGCGTGCAAACGCACCTGCGAACGTGCGTTAAAAATTCGCATCATTTAATTTGCTTGGCAGATTTTGGTTCTTTTGTAGTAGCATTTCTTTTGCGTAATGATCAAGCGTATCAGAAAGCGTAGACGCGTCACGGATCACGCTCGGCAGCTGCTGTGACATTTCATTGTATCGTCGTGCCGTCTCGCCCGCCACTCTCGGAAGGAAGACAGAAGACGGACAGTATCGGAGGGAAGGCCGAAGAAGCGAAGAGAGAAGGACACACATCCGGGAGCCCGGATAAGCAGGTTGTATTATTTCATATCATTACTTGTAACCGCGGTCGCCTACGAAAGGAATCACGCTTTCACCATGCACCCCTTGCAGAGCACCGGAGGAGGCCAGAAGGCTCCCGGCCACCCTTGAGGGGCCGGACGGACGTCCGTCGGGAACATAGGGCCCCGACGGGAAGCGAGAAGGAAATCCATCCCGATCTCCTCCGCCAAGCCAGGAAGTGCAGGGGCCGTGAGACGAGACGCCACCCTTGCCAGGGACATTCATTGCGCGCTCGTGCGAGCCAGGATTCAAGGCCGCGCGGGCCTGGACGGCACGCGCGGATATCGGGACACGCGGAAGCCAATCAGCGGGACTGCCTCCCCCCGCAGGAGGAGGGGGAGCGCTAAGCAGCCTGCGAAAATCCGCCGGGAGCTCCCGGGCCTCATTCTTTCTGTGGACGAGCGAGCCGAGTGTCTTGTAAGGGGAGCACGAGACCGCCGTCGCCGAGGCCGAGTACGAGGACGCAAAGGATCGAGAGATTGGCGAGAGGAGGCTAAGAGGACAAAGGAGACGACGAGGGTGAGACGAGCGTCGCCGCTTGTAAAGCTGCCGACCGGGATACGTCGCCGGGTGGATCGCACGTAAGCCAGCTCGCCTCGTAACGAAAGATCGGCGCAATGGCCGCCGTGTAGAGCCACGGAACCGCGAGCCACGTGCCATCCTCCCGAGCCTTGGAGATAATTAGCTATCGCGTTTCGATGATCGGAGTAAGGGGAATCATATTCATTGCCGAGTCGACAGAAATTAGAGTCGTTCGGAGAGTATCGGGGGCCGAG